AAGTTATGGAAAACATTTTTAAGTTCCTCAAGCAGGTCATAAACTTCACTGCCCACAGACTGTATCCTGTGAGCAGACATGTTGTGTCTGCCAACCTCATAATTTAAAACACTGGGATTGGCTGCCCGCATTTAATCAGAGGGATCCACACAGAAACCTTCCACTTAGTAAAGATTTGAAGGTCTGACAAAGCATGCCCTGTCACCTCCTTGGGAACACAGGCTAGCAGTTCTCCACAAGACCTTCTTTCTCACAGGAGTTAACACAGGAAACTGAAAAGCACAAGGGCCTCTAGCTGACCCACAGTCTTCTAAGTTGTGCTCAGTCCCAGGTATATAGAGAAGTTCCTTATAGGGCTCTAATGTACAGCTGCACACACGCTTGGCACTGTGTACTTGTTTAAGGGTCCTGAACTAACTGCAGGATCGAAATGTACTACCGTTCCCTCCGGGTTACCCCTATCCTCAAAGGTAACAACAGTTGAATCCTATTAAAACGTAGCCGTCTAATCTTGATTACACCATGAAGCTCAACAAGGACACTTTAGATGCAACAAGATCAACTTTATCAGCAACATGAACAATTCAGCTTTTTCTCTAAAGCAGTGGTTCTCAACCTTCCTAATGCTACAACTCTTTAATAAAGTTCCTCATGTTGTGGTGACCCCCAACTATAAAATTATTTCGTTGCTACTTCATAACTGTAATTATGCTACTGTTATGAATTGTAATATCTGATATACAATCCATGGGGTCATGACCCACAGGTTGAGAATGGCTGCTCAAAACAGTCAGTAATCAACTGTATTCAAATACCAAGACGGTGTGTGCTTCAGGCCCAGATTACAAAACCACATATAGAAAACTCTGAGGATAAACTCCTTATGCATAGGAAGCCCTGACAACATGTGTGGGTTTCTAAGAGGGCATTTAAGACTCTCTTCCTCTCCTGCTCCCACAACCACCCACCAATCATCTGACAGTGAAGACACCAGCACATATTAGAGGCACGGAATTAAGTCACTGAATGAATCTATGACCTCCTACTTTCTCCCTCTTTGCATCTGCTTGCTCTTTGGTTTGGTTTTTCTTTAGAATCATCTTGTAGGTCTGTTCCTAGCCTCTCCATTGTACAGGGCTAACTTGGTAAGACAAACTTGTTTCCTTGATGCTGAGGAGCATCCATGTTATACTGAAGAAAGGAGGTGGGGATAAATCATTCAGGATGCCCTCTATCCTAATCTTTCTGGGCCTTTGCAGCCCACATGTAGTGTCATCAAGTTCTTGGGGGCGCTGGGTGGTGGTGGCGCACACCTTTAATCCCAACACTCGGGAGGCAGAGGCAGGCTGATCTCTGTGAGTTCGAAGCCAGCCTGGTCTACAGAGAGAGATCCAGGAAAAGCGCAAAGCTACATAGAGAAACCCTGTCTCAAAAAACCAAAAAAAAGTTCTTGGGGGCTGAAGAAAGATTTTCAAAGTGTGAGACACAAAGTGACCTACATCCGTATCAGGAAGGAACTGGATGAACATGCTGACTCCCAAGTCACAGGAAAGTGTGGGATGAATGAGAATCTCTGGCAAGCACCACAGAGAATCAGTGGTTCTAAGCATCTCTCAAGCCTTCCTTACGTACATAGATTTTTGAGAACCACTGAACACTGAGCCCAAAAAAAAGGACTAGCTTCACAAGGGGCCCTGGTCCTCACTTATCCTCTCCCTCACCTGCATGCCATAAGCCATTCTGCAGACCTGTTAAAATGACAACATATTCTGTGTCGCCATAATTCAAATTCATGATCCATTTGAACAAAAAAGGCAAACATTTTTAAAACACAGCTATACACTGGCAAAGTCCTTAATACCATGGAAAATACAGATTAGCTTCACACTCAAAAGGCCATTTATATGCCACACTGTGGTTTTAAATTAATCCTGTGCCTCTCAAGGAAGTTGTAAGTCCCGCACGCCCCTCTCATGCTTTATATCGAGCTCACCAGCTGCCTCTACAAGGCTGGTTGATACCACTAACCAACACACAGCAAGAAGGCTCCAAAACAGCATGCCAATTTTATGCTTGACTCAGGTAATCACAGCTCTCTGGAGGGGAATCCGCTCTTCAGACTTACCTTTCCTCTGCTCCTGCCATCCACAATCCCCTCTGGGGGAACTTCAGGCTCTAATACACTCGATTACACTCTACAGATTTATAATGCCAAATAGCCATTCACATAAGGGCTCTCCATAAACATTACCAACTCGGATGATTGATTCTGGACCTCTCTTAGTGTGCCACCTTATTTCAAGACAAACATTATATGCCCATTTCTCTTTAGTTCCTTAAACTGGGCTCCCTAGCCACACCTTGCACATACCACCTTATGGAAATAAGACTATGGTTAGAAGAACAAGTTGTAAGACAAAATGAATTATAGAAGGGACAGCAGCTGAGGCAAGGCAGATGAGTCAAGTAGTCACACACAGTAAGGACAATCAGCATGAAAACGAGAATAGCCAGCATGTTTCAGTAGAATAGAACAGTTCACATTACCATCATCTAAACTTGTGCTTCTTAAACATTAATGAGTCCATGAGTTACCCACAAAAATCTTCCAAAATGCAGGCTCTGATTCCAGCAGCCGAAATGCAGCCCAAGCAGATGCCTCCTAACAAGTTCCCAGGTGCTGCTCATGCTATGTGGCTCTGCTCCTTACTGAGGGTGGGTGGGAGCAGAAGCAGCAACAGCTGCACCTGGATGATTGTCAGGCCTCTGGTATCCACCTTAGACTTATGCAGGGATCGGGGTTAAGTAGTGTGCACACCAGACAGCAGCCTGCTGCCCCAGGTACTCACTGGGAATCACATCCACCTGGGAGCACTTCAAAAAGGAGTAGGGCTTCAAGCAGAGACTCTAGCCTGGTGAGACATTTGGATGGTGCTACGTTTGTTTCTTTTGAAGCATACCCAGGTGGTTCTAATGAGCAGGCAATATGGAGAACCAAAGATTTAAAATACTCTCCTGGGTAGGAGGGAAATATAAACTGACTGCTAATGGGATGAGGAATTTCTTTGGGGGAGGAAGAAATGATCTGAATTTGACTATGGTGATAATTGCATAACTGTGAATGAAAACCACTGAACTGTATACTTTAAATGTGTCCCTCACGTGGTCTGTGAATTATATCTCAACAAAACTGTCATACAGGATTATTAAAAACCTTAGTAGTTTCTCTATTTTAAAAAAAATGAATAAATAATGGAATAACAATGACATGGAACTATTTTCTATCCCAGAATATTAGACTAAAATTTTGAATTTCTTTTAAAGATGGAGTACAACAAGTGCCTTTCCAGAAATACTAAGATCCACTCACCAACTCTTCAGGATTCTGCTCAGAGTAATAGATGAAAAAGAAATTGCAGCTAACACCTGTCATAACTATCATGCTGAAAGAAAGGGAAAAAAGGAAAAGAGGAAGGGAAGAGGGAGAAATGGTGGGAGGAAAGCGTCTACTGGAAACCATGCCCTGAATATTCAGTTTCCTACAGTGTTTTCAGTGAGGCTGGGTATGATGGTGTGTGTCTTTAATCTCAGCACTTAAGAGGCAGAGGAAGATGGATTTCTGTGAGTTCAAGGCCCACTTGGTCTACAACTGGAGTCCCAAACCAGCCAGGGCTTAAAAAAATACATTATTGTACCACATTTTTTATATATTTGAATGAAGATAATGGGAAACATGCCAAGAAAAATATATAAAATACCAATCTGACCTTTAAAAAAAAAAATAGCTTAAGAAGCCCTAGATAATACACTCACAAAAATGAGAAAGATCTGAGGCAACACGAACACTGTAGGACCAGACACTGGTCACTGACCATCAATATAAAATATAAAAATTCTGTATGTATCACACTCCTGAGATAACATGAACTAGTCACACACATCTTTGGGGTCCTTTGCTGAAAGTCCTTCTGTTAAGAAATGGCTTTCTGGGAGCTTGCAGGTAATAAATTAGGTCATCTGCACAAACTGAGTATGACACTCCCCCCCTTACCAGAAAATCCCTGACAAAATCCAGTGCATTCTTCTTACTGCTTTATACTTTCTTTTTATAGCAACTCTACCTTATCACAATCTACAGATGACAAAGAAAAAGCCAATGTGATTCCTTACTAGACCTTGACCTTGCTAACTGCACTTGCAAGCAAGTGTCTCCCATTGCTTTCCATGGTAAAGAGGCTTGCCTTCCTGCCCCACACAACGCCCGCCCCACACCTTGTGCTTTAAAAACACTTGCTCAATGAGCTCTTCAGTTTTCACAGTTCTGAGAGATAACAGTAGCATGTTGGTCATTGAGACAGGTCTCCTGTATTCAGAAGTGTTGATCCTTCTGCTTCCACCTATCAAGTGCCAGATTACACACACAGTGACAGTTACATATTCTAAAGCATAAAAAGTCACTTTGATTTTGAGTAACAGATCTCTGTTCCCTGAGCACTGGGGTGCTCAGCATGTTGTCAACTCTTTCACTCTTTGTGTCTTTGAAACAGTCACTTCCTGAGGAATGAAGACCCACAGTGGCTGTGTGCATATCCCAATAATTCTTAAGGAATTATATCTTGTTCATAATCTAGCTAATAATGTACAAATTCCTTTAAATAGAGAGGGAGAGAGCACAGCAAAATAGCTTAGTTGGTAAAGGTTCTGATGCCAAGCCTAATGTTCTAAGTGTGATACTTGGACCCACATAGTGGAAGGAGAGAATGACTCCCAAATGTTATCCTCCAGCTTCTATGAACACACACACATACACACACACACACACACACACACACACACACACACACACTCACTCACACACCTACAATCATGCACATTCCCACACATGCAAACTCAAATGCATGCACACTCACACTCATCCACTCACACATGTGCATGCACACACTAAGTGCAATTTTTAATTAAAATTGAATAAATGCAAGACAACAGTAAAGAAGACTTACCTGATAGTATATATATCCCGAATGTCCTTCTCCCCGCTCTGTCCTTCCTTTAGTGCTTGTATTTGTAATAATTTCATAAGGGCTTTTATCAAACCAGGCATGTTCCTGTAAAGAAATATAAAAGCGTGCTAAATGGCCCAGACTTAAAATGAATGTGCTAAGCAGGTGCTTCATCCTGTGTTCCCTCTTGTGGTGCTAGCTATGAAAATTGGAGCCTCGTACACACTAGTCAAGCACTCTAACGGGTGACACCTCCCTCCAAGCCACCGCGAGTCTGCCACCCACACGGAACCGTGGGCACGTTTCAGCACAGCCAAGACCCACATATGAAAAAGGAAAACATGGCCAAAGATTCAAACCAGCTATCAATCACCTCCCGACACACACTTGGGGGAAATCAATCAGGGAAAAAAAGCAAACATTAGCCCACATAATTCGAGTCAGTGACCACATCAGTTACCCAGAATAAATGATCAAGTCATTTATAAATATTAGCAGACCATAAAAAATAACCAGACAAATGAAGTGGATCAGCCATCCAAAAGAGTGGTCCAGGGCACCAATTAAAGCAAAACAAAAGCCATTAAGAGAGAATTAATAAAAAGAGGAATACACTGTAAAGTCTTCCCTTATTCTGTAAGAAATAGGACAAATATATATATATATATATATATATATATATATATATATATATA